ACATGTGCAAATGTAAAGTTCTAACACACAATTATTCTATCCTTATGGGTAATAATATTATGAAACTGAAGCTGGTTCTGATTATGTTTATATACACTGATGGCAGTCAAGGTAAGTAAATATCTATGATTGATTAACAATAAAATGTTTTGCTCACAGAAAAGTAACAAAACCCCGCTGACATTTCAAACAGACAAGCACTCCAGTGAATCAATACACCTAATCTATTTACCAAAGGTTATTGCTGAAAGTAGATCACACCTACACGGACATATATGATACTATAATGCACATATCATGTAAAACACTGAACCATAGAAACCAGTGTCACATATCAAGACTACTCCTTACTGCCATGTCCTTCTATTCCATTAGTGTTAAAAGTGGGTGAGTTTGGTGTTTCAGCAACCCACATTTAACAATATACTTACATATTAGTCTACATTGCCACAACAATTCATGCAGTGAATTAAAAACCATAGTTTTTACAGGTAAGCTGTTTAGAGGTTATCTGCATATAAACTGAACAGCATTGAAAACGCACCAGCAATAAATCTTGAAATATTACAAAAACAACTTGAGCAATGACTGATTTTAATTAGAACAGACATAGACGGATTATTAGGAAAGACGACAAAGGGAACAGGAATACCACACAGTAATTACATTTACGTCATCAGTGTAAGGAAGACACATAGGGTTAAAATGAAAAGTCAATATCTGGTATGTCTGCCATTGGCAGCAACACAGGCCATGCAACGTCTTCTCATTGATCGAGTAAGTCTGCAAATAGTGTTCTGGGGCATTCCACTCTTGACGTAGTGTATCTTCAAGTTCTCTCAGGTTCTGTACTTTCGGACGATGTGAGAGGCGTTGACCCAGGTAATCCCACAGATGTTCAATTGGCGATAGATCTGGTGACAGGGCTGGCCATGGAAGCAGAGGCACATTATTGTTCGCTAGGTACTGTGTTCAAACACGTGCTGTGTGCGCTCTTTGCATTATCTTGCTGGAAGGTGTGCATATCCTGGTGCTGATGAAAGAATGGGATGACGTGATTTGCCAATATGTTATTCCTGTAGTAAAGGGCATTAACTCTTCCACGACAAACATGAAACTTTGTTCAATGGTTATGACTGATGCCGCCCCACACCATGACACTCCCTCCCCCCCATCGATCTGTCTGTACAACGCAGTCATTGTGGTAACGTTCTCCACGTCGTTGCCACACTCGCAGTCGACCGTCAGCATTCCGTAAATGAAAACGGGACTCATCAGAGAACAGCACACCATGCGACTTCCGCAATCTCCAATGACGATGCCTTTTGGCCCAATCAAGACGTTCATTTCGATGTCGATCACTGAGTATGGGTCCAACATATGTACGTCGAGCACGTAGCCCTGCTGAGCAGAGACGTCAACGTACGGTGTCAGCGCTGATCAAACCCCGTCGGCCTTGTACGGTTGCTGCAGTCCTGGTACCCGGAAGTGTACGATCACGAAGATGCGGACGAACAATATGGCGATCCTGACGTGGTGTAGTTACACGACGTTGACCCGGACGTGGTCGATCTCTGGTGGTTCCTGTCTGCTGGTATCTGCTCAGTAGCCTGAGGACTGTTGAATGATGGCATTGAAACCATTGTGCAACGACTCTACTTGACGTACCAACTTGAAGCATGCCCAAGGCACGTTCACGTTCCTCTGCTGTTAATCTTGGCATTTCTTGTGTCAGTACCCTTTACGTCTGCAGCAACAAGTGATGTGGCTTTTAAAAGTCTGTCTTTTATAGCCCTATTCTGCATGCTTCCCGTGAAACAAAACACGTTTTCCATGATGTGCACGCAATTTGTTGCGTTTTAGCGATGTCACTCACAAACCATTTAGGAATGTGTTTTGACGAGCTGTTCTTCTTCATGCTTATTCCAGAACGTCGTATATTACTCATTCACTTATATATTTTCATATGACTTAAGCCCGGATAAAAATACATCCATTTTCATGGTGGTGCGTTTTCAATGCTGTTCAGTATATTATGGATCGATTCTAAATATTTCTGATTGAAAAGAGAAAATGTTGATTGATGATTTCCTAAACATTCCTTCTGCAGGATACCATTAGCAAATAGCAGGGTTACCTCCCCCTTGCTTTCCTTTTATCCACACATCTGTGCTATTGGAAGAGAGCAGTTTTGACTGGATGGGTAACTGGGGTAGGGATGGGTTGGGTAGGCGTGGGAAATGTGGTTAGTCAAGTGATATATTGTTTAATGACTTCATGGTAACACTATGAGTCACTAAAGTTTCTGACTGCATGCATTCCTTCTGAGTGAGTGAGTGAGTGAGTGAGTTAGTGTGACTGATTAGCTGAGTGCAAAAGGACGTAACTTTGTCTGACATACAGTCCCTGAAATAAAGTTATGTGCAAGGTTAGCCAATATTATCCTATACCACAAAAAGAATCATGAGTATTAAAGGAACCCTCAATCCTCTTCATTTCAGGAGCTGCAATGGGGATCTGTATAGGTTGCTAGACACGACAAGAGGATGAGAGTGGGTGAATCTTTGTTAAAAAATATGTGCGTGTAAGAGAGGCGAGGCACAACTCTACACAGTGAATCATGGTGCCTTATACCTCTCTGCATCCAACCATGCCCAAAATGCAAATTGAATGACGACATCAAATGTAGATGATATTGGTGCTGTGGCAGTAACTTGTTACCACAGACATCTGGGCCCCGTTCCACAAAGCGATCTTAGCGCTAAGGTGATTGTAACTCCCATTCTTTAACACTGACTTACGACAGTCGTAGCGCTAAGATTGCTTTGTGGAACAGGGCCCCTGATTGCACAAACATGTACATGGCATACAGAATCTAAAGCTACTAGACTAACTTGTCTCTTCCCCCATTTTCATAAGATTTTAGTGTAATTGTATGGACCATTATTAGCTGAACTTATTATTACATTCAGGTATCAGAGGAGGCTAATGATAACATGCTCTAGTCAAGGAGCTCAGCATCTGGACTTGATTGCAGTGTGGTGCGACGCTATATTTTATGGGTGCTTCAATCACTACAAGATTCCTCCATTAGTTTTATATTTAGATTTAGTATTGGATCACAGGAATTGGATTTGTTTGTTTGTTTGTTGTTTAACGCCGCACTCAGCAATATTCCAGCTATATGACAGCGGTCTGTAAATATTCGAGTCTGGACAAGACAATCCAGTGATTGACATCATGAGCATCGATCCACTAGTTTGGGATATGATGACATAAATGAAACGACTCAGCGAGCCTGACCACCCAAGCCTGTTAGTCGCCTCTTACGACAAGCATAGTCACCTTTTATGGCAAGCATAGGTTGCTTAATACCTATTCTAACCCAGATCTTCACAGGTCCACAGTAATATTGGAATCCACAGAAGATTGTAAACAGGGTAAAAATATAAAACATAACAAAATGTCAAGAACAGCAAAACCAAATAACCATAATTTAAATATGCATAGCTTATTCAGTAATAACAGTGGTAAACCTGAATTAAGACAAATTTCTGATTCAGAAACATATTACAAAGACACTGCCTTCAGGAAGAAAACAATATGATATCAAATACAATTTCAGCAATATTTTATTATATATTTTATTTAAAACCAAGTCACAACATGTATGGCCTCCAAATGAGTGAGTGAGTGAGTTGGGTTTAACGACGCTTTTAACAGTATTCCAGTTATATCGTGGCGTGTCAGTTTAATGTGGGAGGAAAGCCGGAAGTAATGCAGGTGACAGACATTTACCACTTTAGTGAAACCCATGAGCACGGGTATGGTGCTGACAAACCTAGAAACAAAATCGGAGCGAAACGGGATTCGGACACACAATCATAGGTTTCTGGCGTGCCCAAGGGACGCAACTCTGCACAGCAAATTGTGGTGCCTTAGACGACTGGGCCACCCATGCCCCCTCCTTCAAATGGGCATGCATTGACGAGCACCTGGCATGGGCACTTGTGTAAACGGTGCAAGCTAGTGTGAGGGACTTTTTTGCAGTAAATATAGAATATTCCGGAGCCTTGCTTTAAACAAAGATAATATTTTCATGAGGTGAAATTACCCTCAATAAAACTGTGAATTACATCTACCTAATTTTCATGGTTACGTTATATGCTGTGTTAAGCACCTCACTTCAATAAGTACCACTTATTCCAGACTATTCAAGTAATCTATATTAGCACCCAATACTTAGCCCGAACATTTTCAAGACTGTCTGTATTTTCTTTGTAAATAAATATTATTTACATAAAACACAGCAGACTAGAAGGGGTATAAACTTTAAGTAATCTTTATTAGCACCGAATACTTAGACCAAACATTTCCAAGACTGTCTGTATTCTGGTGTATATAAAATATTATTTACAGAAAACACAGCAGTGTAGAAGGGGTTTAAAATTAAACTCTTAACTATTATTGAAAATAGGTTTAGTTTTACCGATATTTGAACTAAGTTCATTCTCTGTTTGACCTTTGAAAACTTTAACTTGTTGTGTGTGGTTTTAATAAGCACCTCCTGGGGCGTTTATTCTGGCAAATATGGTGTCTCATATATTAATACATATCGCAATATCATTTTAGGATGAATTTCTCCATGTTTTATGTGGCACGTCTAACAGGAACTGTTGCTATCATCTAGTTTGTGTTCAATTTGTATGACTGATTAATTTAGGATTGTTCCGATAGTATTATGCAGATATCAGATTTAGCATTTTGTTTTCTTCTGCACATCTTGTAAGGAAATGGAGTTATTGCAAAACGTAGTAAATTTAACTTTTTAAAAATTGATAGACTTCAAACATGAATCAACACATGGGTAGATGTACCGGTATGGTGTATCATAACGTCAGGTGTCAACTCAATGAATGGTGACATCCCAAGTAAAGAACACCATGTTTTCTTGTCACAGTGGCCGTCTTAGTGACTGCAGTCAGTGCATGCAGACCTACCTTGAGAGGGAAAAACTGGTCTTCTGTCTTGCCGAGCCCGAGGCAGCCCTCTCTGTTCTTCCCCCATGTATACACATCACCAGTGTCTGGAGACAAAAGTAGCGAAACATGTCATTGGCATCCTCACTGAAGCTTCAGGGCTAAGTAAACACGTCCCTTGTAGCAGACATTTAGTTCCTTCAGTCTGCTGTGTGTTGTTTAATTATACATACTTTATGGATCCGATAGCAAAATTTCACAAATGTGGGATAAAATTACTATCTTGAGAACAGTCCTTTTCTCTTCAAGGTTATTCAAGAAATTCAAAGTAGGTCGAAATAGTGAAGGAATTTGTCATGACAAAAGAATGTTTAAAAATTTAATTTATTTGTTTATTTTACACAAACAACAATACTTTTAACCTATGGCAAAAATGCTATAGTTCAACGATAAAATGTTCCATATTCTGATCACTGAGCATGCGAGTTTGGTTATTTTCACTTTGAACAGTATTTCAGCTCTATCACTGTGTCAGGAAAGACCAAAGTGATACATGTCATTGACGTTTACCTCTTTGCTGAAACCAAGAACATGGATATGGTGCTGACAAACCTAGAAGGATAATCAGAGTGAATCTGGGATTTAAACCCATGATCATAGGTTTCTGGTACGCCTAAGGGAGGTAACTCTGTACCGGGAATTGTGACAACTGGGCCACCCATACCCCAAACTGACTGATGATGCAGCAAATATTTATAACCAGTTTTGAAATCTTCTGTCATTATTGCACATATCAATTACAAAAGACAACAATTTGCTGTAATTTATTATTCATCATGCTGTTCACATTCTGCCATCCAACCACACGTTACTTAACTTCAGCCTTGTGTTAGACATACAACATGCCAGCACTAATATGAATTAGTGAACATGGTTTTACTCTGCTTGAAATAGTTTCTGTAACACCTTATGTGCCTTTTATTTGAAAGACTGAGTGAGTTGGGTTTAACGCCGCTTTTAACAGTATTCCAGTTATATCACGGCGTGTCAGCTTAATGTGGGAGGAAAGCCTGAAGTGATGCAGGGGGCAGACGTTTACCACATCAGTGAAACCCACGAGCACGGGTATGGTGCTGACAAACCTAGAAACATTATCGGGGCAAACCGGGATTCGAACACACAGTTATAGGTTTCTGGCGTGCCCAAGGGACGCAACTCTGCACAGCGAATGGCGGCGCCTTAGACGACTGGGCCACCTGTTCCTCATAATTTGAAAGAATGTTTGTTTGTTGCTTAAGTCATGCTCAGTAAAATACCAGGTATATGATGCCATTTTATATGAGGCATTTAACTGCCTCTTATGAAAAAACATGGATTGCTAAAGTACTCAAGGAAATGAAAAAAACCCTGTTTTGCTGGATTTAATAATCGACACAAAGCATTACGTAGATGTAAATACGAAATAACAAAACAACTGGAAAAGTACTAGTCTGGATTTGCTAGTTTTATCTCAGTGCTCAATACAAAATGTACTTTACAGGAGGTAATTTGTAGGCACTTTCAACATTCAAAAATAAAACTAAGTCCAAATTGACATGGCAGAAACAGGCTTTAGGCATTATGCAAATTAGCCTGGAAAAAAGTTATCAAAACAACAATAAAAATAACAGCTATGTTTATGTACATAATAATAATGACATGTAAGTTGTTGTTTGAGAAGGGAATATGTTACTTTTGCGTTCTGATATTTTGACGATGATTCACTATCCCACAATGCCACTGACAAATCACTAACCACTGACAAATCACATGCACGTGGGTTTCAAGCACCTATTTTCACCTGTCGTCAAGGTGTCATAGGTCATGGACATTCACCTTGATCTACCAACACCTGGTTATGCTCAGTTTCACAATAGTCAGTTTTGTTCATATTTTTACACACTTTTACGTGTAAAAAGACATAAAAACCTTTGATACGCTGTATTTGTGCCAAGGGCCATTTGGTACTAATTGAGTTGTTTGAATATTTATGTATTTTGTATATTAACTGCATTTATTTAAAATCTGAGATCGAAAAAACAGGTTTTTTTCATTTCCGTGAGTACTTTTAGGGAACAATCCCAACCAGATTCCCCCAAGGGGTTGAAAGAATGAGGAAACTAACCTGTCCTGGCGACAAAGTGACCCATTCCACACACAATATCCACAACTTTAGATTCAGGCTGGAGCTCATGCCGGCCAAACAATGTTGGTGGAATCCTCTGAGGCTGATCTGCTGCCTCCAGAGCTGGTCCTTTGCCGAGGATCCCGAATCCCCACACATAGACATCCCCTTTGTCTGCAATGGAACAAATATAGCAGTGAGTGGGTGTGGGAGTGGGTGTGGGAGTGGGTGTGGGAGTAGGTGACTGGGTGGTCGGGCTGTTGAGTGAGTGGGTGGGCGAGTGAGTGAATGAGTGAGTGCATTGGTTTTGGGTGAGAGTGAGGTAGGGAGAGGGGGGTGGAAGGGTTGGTGCATATGATGAGTTATTGATGAGTTATTGCATGAGGGAACAGTTATTTATCATAGGATGGGGTTGCTTAGAGCGAATCAGGGAGGGTCACCAAAAAATATGACTGTCTCTAATGGAGGGGCATACAAAATAATACACATATTTGGGGAGGGTCATGATGAATAAACATCTTAAATGAAACATAAAGTTATTTTGCTATTGTCTTTTCAGGGAGAGTCATCAAAACAATGCACAAGGTCATGGGAAGGATTGTCCCAAAATATGTAAAGCATTATTTTCAGTACATCAGTGCATCAAAAACCTCTGAACCATCCACTCCTGTAATAAATGACCGATCCCTTTTATGTTTCAGTTTGAAAATATCTTTTAATGAGACAATGAAAATGTTTCAATTCTTTCTTTTGCCTCACCGCTTAGCATATTTACTGAGGTGCGTATATCCATATCACATCAAACCAATATCAAACCAGTGTATTGACAATTCGTCTTCCTTTAGTCACTGGTAGCACAGATGGACTAGTCATCACAATAGCTGCAATTTGCTGTGCAGAGGTGCATCCCTTAATTATGCCAGAAGCCTATGATCACTGGTTAAAAACTGGTTCTCCCTGATTATGTCTTTTTGTTTGTCAACACAATATCTGTGCACATGGGTTTTATCAAAGTGGTAACGGTCTAACATCTGCAAACTCTGGGCTTTCCACCCACATGCACAACTCTGGGCTTTCCACCCATATGCAAAACTCTGGGCTTTCCACCAACATGCACAACTCTGGGCTTTCCACCCATATGCACAACTCTGGTCTTTCCACCCATATGCACAACTCTGGTCTTTCCACCCATATGCACAACTCTGGTCTTTCCACCCACATGCACAACTCTGGTCTTTCCACCCATATGCACAACTCTGGTCTTTCCACCCATATGCACAGCTCTGGGCTTTCCACCCATATGCACAACTCTGGGCTTTCCTCCCATCTCAAACTGAATCTAGAATCTGACAGTGGTGGCTTTGTTTCATAGATTTGACAGGTATAATTAATCTAGGTTTGCAGCAGCACCAAGCACTTAGGGTTTTCACCGAAGCAGTAAATGTCTAAGAATTTGCATCACTGTGACAAAACTGAAATACAATTCAAAGGTGCATTAAACCAAACACACTCACTCGCTTGCCCTCAAACAGGGGGTTCTCTGTGGGTGGTTCACAAGGTACAAAGTATGAGATACAAAGACATGTTGCCACTCACCGTTGAGTATAGCACATGCAGAGCCGGCTGCAACACCTTTGATAATTTTCCCACAATTCCTCACAGGAAGATGTTTAGGTTCAGAAACCTGAGCATGGTCTGTTACCATGGAGAGCTGGTTGTATTCAGAGTTCCCCCATCCAAATACATCTCCCTTGTCTGAAACAATGACAAACTGATATGGAGTTTGGTTAAATTAATCATCAGATTTTCATCGACTCAGCAGCACCTCACATCACTGCCCAACTGATTGCTTGGGAGGATGATTAACAAAAAGGTGGGGCCAAAAAACAGCAGATTTGTGTCAGTGTTACTTTGGTGTTTCTATCCGAAAACAGACATAATATACTTTTTATCCAGGTGCTTTTTGAGCAAACAGCAAAAGTTTGTTTAGCCTAACAAAGCCTAAAATCAGTTGTGCACCCACCTGAGACAGCCAGCACACAGTCGGCAGTAGACGCTATATTCACAATCCTCTCATTCTTGATATCCCCGCCTACCAGGGTCGGCACTGACACGTTCTTGTAACTTCCCAATCCTGAAACAGAGACCGTATGACCAACATCACAAAGCTGCTACAGTCAGACGTATTCCACAGACAAGTCAGGATGTGAAACAGAAGTGTTCCAAAGGTCTTGTGGAGAGAGTGGATAGTGGAAGAATGTGGTGTGTTTCCCTTGCTGCATCATATCAAAAGACATTCAAAGATACTATGTAAGTGCAATATTATTGAATGCAAGGTGAAACCCCATTTCAACCCTACTCACCTCCAGCATAATTCAAAGGTTTCTTTGGGCCCCTTATCACTAAAGTGAGTGAGTGTGTTGGGTAAAACACTGCTTTTAACAGTATTTCAGTTATATCACGGCATGTCAGAGTAATGTGGGAGGAAAGCCCAAAGTGATGCAGGTGTCGGACGTTTACCACTTCGGTGAAACTCAGGAGCGCAGGTTTGGTGCTGACAAACCACGAATCGCGGTGCCTTACACGACAATCACTTAAATGATTAAGTGAGTGAATGTTTTTTAACACCACATTCAGCATTATTCCATCTATGTCATGGTAGTGTGGAAACAACTAAGTCTGGACTAAATTTACTAGTGACTGATAGCATGACCATCTTCCCTTGCTGTCAGGATATGATCACCTGACACCTGATGCACATTTTAGTGAGAGCCTATGATAAACCAATCAGGATATGATGACACACGGACATGTGACACATTGTCATCACCTGACACCTGATGCACATTTTAGTGAGAGCCTATGATAAACCAATCAGGATATGATGACACATGGACATGTGGCACATTGTCATCACCTGACACCTGATGCACATTTTAGTGAGAGCCTATGATAAACCAATCAGGATATGATGACACACGGACATGTGACACATTGTCATCACCTGACACCTGATGCACATTTTAGTGAGAGCCTATGATAAACCAATCAGGATATGATGACACACGGACATGTGACACATTGTCATCACCTGACACCTGATGCACATTTTAGTGAGAGCCTATGATAAACCAGTCAGGATATGATGACACACGGACATGTGACACATTGTCATCACCTGACACCTGATGCACATTTTAGTGAGAGCCTATGATAAACCAGTCAGGATATGATGACACACAGACATGTGACACACGGACATGTGGCACATTGTCATCACCTAACACCTGATGCACATTTTAGTGAGAGCCTATGATAAACCAGTCAGGATATGATAACACACAGACATGTGACGCACGGACATGTGGCACATTGTCATCACCTAACACCTGATGCACATTTTAGTGAGAGCCTATGATAAACCAGTCAGGATATGATGACACACAGACATGTGACACACGGACATGTGGCACATTGTCATCACCTAACACCTGATGCACATTTTAGTGAGAGCCTATGATAAACCAGTCAGGATATGATGACACACAGACATGTGACGCACGGACATGTGGCACATTGTCATCACCTAACACCTGATGCACATTTTAGTGAGAGCCTATGATAAACCAGTCAGGATATGATGACACACAGACATGTGACACACGGACATGTGGCACATTGTCATCACCTAACACCTGATGCACATTTTAGTGAGAGCCTATGATAAACCAGTCAGGATATGATGACACACAGACATGTGACACACGGACATGTGGCACATTGTCATCACCTAACACCTGATGCACATTTTAGTGAGAGCCTATGATAAACCAGTCAGGATATGATAACACACAGACATGTGCATATGGATTCAATCAATGCATGAATGTACCCTAGTGTTGTGCATGCATTGATCATATATGCAACATTGTAAGCTGATCAAACCTGCACAAAATACAATTCCATCTTTAATTTGAGCATTTTCACGGTTTGCATTTGATGCCCAATAATTCTTTTGTATGCCTTGTATGTTTGTTTATGCTGTTTATTTATTAATTCAAACTTCTTTATTTTGTATTCATGTCATAACCTTTAATAGGGACATTCATTGTTTTCTTAATAACATCTGACCATAATTGCACATACATGTACAGAGATTTTTATATGAGCACGTCTGTCATACTGATTGTATAAAACAAGTGTCAGAATTCTTGTAACTCCCTGGCGAGAAATAATAATTTCTTTATCACCCATTAGAGCTTAATGCTTTTGAGCTCCCCTTTAGAAAGATGCACTGATCACGACTGGTGTCTTAGAAAACAGCAATTGTCAAGTGCCATCAATAATCTTCAGCTGTGACATTGTTTTTAGTGTGACATCATTCGGACCTTACATCACATTAAGATTAGAATGGCGTCAACAATGCCGTTGGGATGATGTAAACAAGACTCTGGTGCACGTGAAGCGTACATACAATGTTTATGGACTCGGTTATTTCTAACCAACAAGTAATAAATAACATGGCTGATCATAGTACCTGAATGATGTCCCCTGGTCCATGTGGAGAGTCTTTATCTTTTTCCAAGATAAGTATTTTTTAATCAAGTTTCCAATTGAAAAAATGAGGGGGTTTATGTGCATTCTATTGTGCTAGGTGTGCTTATTATATACTGCATCAGATTGAGACTTTACCACAGAGGCACATAGGGAAATCACTCACTCTGTTAACACTTTTGCATAAAAGCATAATTAATAATTACATAATTGAGGTGCTGAATTTGTTGATGCATGTCATCGATCCCAATTGCGTGGATCGTTGCTCATGATATCTATCACTGGATTGTCTTGTCCAGACTCGACTATTTACAGATCGCCATCATATAGCTGGAATATTGCTGAGTGTGGCGTTAAACAACAAACCAACCAACATAACTGAGCCACATATAGACACATTCTTTATCCTAAGAGAAACATCATAATGTCTGTAGATCATATTATCTTTGAATGTACTGTGCTATGATGCAGTGAAGTTACAATGCAGTGATGTCACAGTTTGAAGAATGCTGAGCCACTATTCATATGTACTGTTGCCATAGCAATATGGGACCTGTTTGATACAAAATGCTGTATATTTGACGGTTTGACTGATATCTTTGATAAAACCTATCCCATGTTTTGATGTGAACACAAAATCATGCCAGATGTCCTGTAGAATCATTAAGATCACAATCACCTCGCCACCTGCCTGAAATGAATATTTGAACAAATGAGCAGAAAAGGTTGACAAGTCATGGAGTCACTGACCTGTCTGCCCATCCGCACCCAGCCCACAGCTGTACACTTGACCAGTGTCCGTCAGGAACAAGGTGTGGTCCTGGCCACACACCACCTGGACAAACCAACACAGGGACTGGTCTCAGGCAGAGAAATTATAGGCCTGTCACATTATGTCAGCCTCATGTATCGAAAACATATTGTATTAATTCAGTCCCAATACAATATGCTCAGTTTCGTAAAAGTCTCCATGTTCAATATAGCCCTTCTGACACAAGGTTGTTGTTTAATAACTGATTAATATAGGCCCTTTCTAATAGTATTATGCAATCATATTGATTCAGCGTTATGTTTTGCAAAAGACAGTAAAATTATAAGACTAGCCTTAGAAATTAACTGTTATTGGGCTGGAATATTGCATAAATGTAAATTTTACTTTTTGAAAACTGATAGAGAATAAAAACATGAATTGATAGTAGGGTTTACAATGCACTGATGGATGGATGAATCATTACACCCAAGAAAATAATGTATCTTATACACTTTATTGATGACACACTAAATATCTGGACACAAATATGTTACACTTCTATGTCATGAGAGATGTTTAACTTTGATCTCTTTTATCATGCTGCATACATCCATTGATAAATATGTTTTTTTATGCCTTTGGTACAGCAGTAGATATGTCCCATACTTCTCACAAAATAATAACTATCCGAATACCAAAGATTTACAGAAAGATTTACTGCACAAGAAAATGATGAATAGCTAGATATTAATGAGGAGTATGCAACTGGATTCCTATCTGGAGACCTGATATGTATTGATAACAGTAAACTGGCAAGAACATCCACAGCCACTTCTCAACATGCCTCCTTACTTTCACAACATTGTCTGGAAGATCGTGAATCTTGTTGATGTTTGGGTTCTTGGCATACACCTCGTCCTCCACCACTGACCGCCCACACTGACCACACGAGTTGTTGCCCAGGCTGAAAACTAGATACAGACAATGTCAAGAAGGACCAACCTTTCTTTCCAGAACCTGACCATCCTTTCACTCCAGAACATGACCAACCTTTCATTCCAGTATCTGACCAACCTTTCACTCCAGTATCTGACCATCCTTTCACTCCAGTTTCTGACCAACCTTTCACTCCAGTATCTGACCATCCTTTCACTCCAGTATCTGACAAACCTTTCACTCCAGTATCTGACCATCATTTCACTCCAGTATCCGACAAACCTTTCACTCCAGTATCTGACCATTCTTTCACTCAAGTATCTGGCAAACCTTTCACTGCAGTATCTGATCTTCCTTTCACTCCAGTATCTGACCATCCTTTCACTCCAGTATCTGACCATCCTTTCACTCGAGTATCTGACCAACCTTTCACTCCAGTACAGTGACCAACCTTTCACTCCAGAACCTGACCAACCCATCACTTCAGTATCTGACCATCCTTTCACTCCAGATCCTGACCATCATTTCACTCCAGTATCTGGCCATACTTTCACTCCAGAACCTGACCAACCTTTCACTCCATTATCTGACCATCCTTTCACTCCAGTATCTGACAACCTTTCACTCCAGTATCTGACAAACCTTTCACTCCAGTATCTGGCAAACCTTTCACTGCAGTATCTGACCATCCTTTCACTCCAGTATCTGGCAAACCTTTCACTCCAGAACCTGACCAACCTTTCACTCCAGTATCTGACCATCCTTTCACTCCAGTATCTGACAAACCTTTCACTCCAGTATCTGACACAGTCCCTGTGTTGGTTTGTCCAGGTGGTGTGTGGCCAGGACCACACCTTGTTCCTGACGGACACTGGTCAAGTGTACAGCTGTGGGCTGTAGAAATGTATGTAGTGGCTGTGTTTTAGCTGGTGACTAAATATCCAGGTGAGCTACAGTGCCCTAGCACTAAGTAACAACAATTTGAAAAATTAAAAAAATTCTACCATCAGCATTATTTGATATTCTTTTTAAAACACAAACAGCCTGAAATTCGTCTAGACCTTTGATATTAGAAGAGCTGCAGAATAGGTTCATAGTCAAAGCTTTTTTACTGTAATAATGCATAGTGTTAATCGAATACTGGAGTGAAAGGTTGGTCACTGTACTGGAGTGAAAGGATGGTCAGATACTGGAGTGAAAGGATGGTCAGATACTGGAATGAAAGGATGGTCACTGTACTGGAGTGAAAAGATTGTCAGATACTGGAGTGAAAGGATGGTCAGATACTGGAATGAAAGGATGGTCAGATACTGGAGTGAAAGGTTGGTCAGATACTGGAGTGAAATGATGGTCAGGTTCTGGAGGGGAAGGTTTGTCAGGTTCTGGAGTGAAAGGTTGGTCGGGGTTCAGGAGTGAAAGGTTGGTCGGGTTCTGGGGTCAAATGTTGGTCAGGTTCTGGAGTGAAAGGTTGGTCAGATACTGAAGTGAAAGGTTGGTCGGGTTCTGGAGTGAAAGGATGGTCGGGTTCTGGAGTGAAAGGATGGTCAGATACTGGAGTGAAAGGATGGTCAGATACTGGAGTGAAAGGATGGTCAGATACTGCAGTGAAAGGTTTGCTAGATACTGGAGTGAAAGGATGGTCAGATATTGCAGTGAAAGGTTTGCCACATACTGGAGTGAAAGGTTTGTCAGATACTGCAGTGAAAGGTTTGCCAGATACTGGAGTGAAAGAATGGTCAGATACTGGAGTGAAAGGTTTGCCAGATACTGGAGTGAAAGGATGGTCAGATACTGGAGTGAACGGTTTGTCAGATACTGGAGTGAAAGGATGGTCAGATACTGGAGTGAAAGGTTGGTCAGGTTCTGTTTTCACTCCAGTATCTGACCATTCTTTCACTCAAGTATCTGGCAAACCTTTCACTGCAGTATCTGATCTTCCTTTCACTCCAGTATCTGACCATCCTTTCACTCCAGTATCTGACCATCCTTTCACTCGAGTATCTGACACAGTCCCTGTGTTGGTTTGTCCAGGTGGTGTGTGGCCAGGACCACACCTTGTTCCTGACGGACACTGGTCAAGTGTACAGCTGTGGGCTGTAGAAATGTATGTAGTGGCTGTGTTTTAGCTGGTGACTAAATATCCAGGTGAGCTACAGTGCCCTAGCACTAAGTAACAACAATTTGAAAAATTAAAAAAATTCTACCATCAGCATTATTTGATATTCTTTTTAAAACACAAACAGCCTGAAATTCGTCTAGACCTTTGATATTAGAAGAGCTGCAGAATAGGTTCATAGTCAAAGCTTTTTTACTGTAATAATGCATAGTGTTAATCGAATACTGGAGTGAAAGGTTGGTCACTGTACTGGAGTGAAAGGATGGTCAGATACTGGAGTGAAAGGATGGTCAGATACTGGAATGAAAGGATGGTCACTGTACTGGAGTGAAAAGATTGTCAGATACTGGAGTGAAAGGATGGTCAGATACTGGAATGAAAGGATGGTCAGATACTGGAGTGAAAGGTTGGTCAGATACTGGAGTGAAATGATGGTCAGGTTCTGGAGGGGAAGGTTTGTCAGGTTCTGGAGTGAAAGGTTGGTCGGGGTTCAGGAGTGAAAGGTTGGTCGGGTTCTGGGGTCAAATGTTGGTCAGGTTCTGGAGTGAAAGGTTGGTCAGATACTGAAGTGAAAGGTTGGTCGGGTTCTGGAGTGAAAGGATGGTCGGGTTCTGGAGTGAAAGGATGGTCAGATACTGGAGTGAAAGGATGGTCAGATACTGGAGTGAAAGGATGGTCAGATACTGCAGTGAAAGGTTTGCTAGATACTGGAGTGAAAGGATGGTCAGATATTGCAGTGAAAGGTTTGCCACATACTGGAGTGAAAGGTTTGTCAGATACTGCAGTGAAAGGTTTGCCAGATACTGGAGTGAAAGAATGGTCAGATACTGGAGTGAAAGGTTTGCCAGATACTGGAGTGAAAGGATGGTCAGATACTGGAGTGAACGGTTTGTCAGATACTGGAGTGAAAGGATGGTCAGATACTGGAGTGAAAGGTTGGTCAGGTTCTGTTTTCACTCCAGTATCTGACCATTCTTTCACTCAAGTATCTGGCAAACCTTTCACTGCAGTATCTGATCTTCCTTTCACTCCAGTATCTGACCATCCTTTCACTCCAGTATCTGACCATCCTTTCACTCGAGTATCTGACCAACCTTTCACTCCAGTACAGTGACCAACCTTTCACTCCAGAACCTGACCAACCCATCACTTCAGTATCTGACCATCCTTTCACTCCAGATCCTGACCATCATTTCACTCCAGTATCTGGCCATACTTTCACTCCAGAACCTGACCAACCTTTCACTCCATTATCTGACCATCCTTTCACTCCAGTATCTGACAACCTTTCACTCCAGTATCTGACAAACCTTTCACTCCAGTATCTGGCAAACCTTTCACTGCAGTATCTGACCATCCTTTCACTCCAGTATCTGGCAAACCTTTCACTCCAGAACCTGACCAACCTTTCACTCCAGTATCTGACCATCCTTTCACTCCAGTATCTGACAAACCTTTCACTCCAGTATCTGACCATCCTTTCACTCCAGTATCTGGCAAACCTTTCACTGCAGTATCTGACCATCCTTTCACTCCAGAACCTGACCAACCTTTCACTCCAGTATCTGACAAACCTTTCACTCCAGTATCTGACCATCCTTTCACTCCAGTATCTGACAAACCTTTCACTCCAGTATCTGACAAACCTTTCACTCCAGTATGTGGAAAACCTTTCACTGCAATATCTGACCATCCTTTCACTCCAGTATCTAGCAAACCTTTCACTGCAGTATCTGACCATCCTTTCACTCCAGTATCTGACCATCCTTTCACTCCAGTATCTGACCATCCTTTCACTCCAGAACCCGACCATCCTTTCACTCCAGAACCCGACCAACCTTTCACTTCAGTATCTGACCATCCTTTCACTCCAGAACCTGACCAACCTTTCACTCCAGTATCTGACCATCCTTTCACTCCAGTATCTGACAACCTTTCACTCCAGTATCTGACAAACCTTTCACTCCAGTATCTGGCAAATCTTTCACTGCAGTATCTGACCATCCTTTCACTCCAGTATCTGGCAAACCTTTCACTCCAGAACCTGACCAACCTTTCACTCCAGTATCTGACCATCCTTTCACTCCAGTATCTGACAAACCGTTCACTCCAGTATCTGACCATCCTTTCACTCCAGTATCTGGCAAACCTTTCACTCCAGTATCTGACCATTCTTTCACTCCAGTATCTGGCAAACCTTTCACTGCAGTATCTGACCATCCTTTCACTCCAGAACCTGACCAACCTTTCACTCCAGTATCTGACAAACCTTTCACTCCAGTATCTGACCATCCTTTCACTCCAGTATCTGACAAACCTTTCACTGCAGTATCTGACAAACCTTTCACTCCAGTATGTGGCAAACCTTTCACTGCAATATCTGACCATCCTTTCACTCCAGTATCTAGCAAACCTTTCACTGCAGTATCTGACCATCCTTTCACTCCAGTATCTGACCATCCTTTCACTCCAGAACCCGACCAACCTTTAACTTCAGTATCTGACCAACCTTTCACTCCAGAACCCGACCATCCTTTCACTCCAGAACCCGACCAACCTTTAACTTCAGTATCTGACCAACCTTTCACTCCAGAACCTGACCAACATTTGACCCCAGAACCCGACCAACCTTTCACTCCTGAACCCCGACCAACCTTTCACTCCAGAACCTGACAAACCTTCCCCTCCAGAACCTGACCATCATTTCACTCCAGTATCTGACCAACCTTTCACTCCAGTATCTGACCATCCTTTCATTCCAGTATCTGACCATCCTTTCACTCCAGTATCTGACAATCTTTTCACTCCAGTACAGTGACCATCCTTTCATTCCAGTATCTGACCATCCTTTCACTCCAGTATCTGACCATCCTTTCACTCCAGTACAGTGACCAACCTTTCACTCCAGTATTCGATTAACACTATGCATTATTACAGTAAAAAAGCTTTGACTATGAACCTATTCTGCAGCTCTTCTAATATCAAAGGTCTAGACGAATTTCAGGCTGTTTGTGTTTTAAAAAGAATATCAAATAATGCTGATGGTAGAATTTTTTTAATTTTTCAAATTGTTGTTACTTAGTGCTAGGGCACTGTAGCTCACCTGGATATTTAGTCACCAGCTAAAACACAGCCACTACATACATTTCTAAAAAACTCTGGGTCGGCTCTTCCAGTACACGATACTAAAAGCAACTTACAGTCAAACACTGTTGTGACGAAGTGAAGGGGACCTACGTAAACAATTCAAGTTATAACTTGGCATACATTTACCAACTGGCATGACAATTGAATGACAACTAACAATGAGGAAATTAAATAAATGTCGACTAATATTAAGTAAAACTGGGATGGAAGTAAATGCTTGAGATTGGAAAATGACTTCAAGACAACCTTACCTTCAACACATCTGATCAGACATATCAGAGGTCAAATAATTATGAATAAAGAAGAAGTACCAAGCTATTACTTCGAGAAAGCTGTAGTTTTGACACATCAAAGTTTGAAACAACATTGTTTGACTGTATTTTGAACAGAATGTCATACCTCCCTCCTTGTCTGTGATGACAACAGTGTGGGAGCGACCACATGACACGTCCCGCACCCTGGTGGTGTCCGGGGACAACAAGGGGAGAGAAATAGGGACAGGTTCTACTATGATGTCAAGCACTCGGCCTGAAACAAAGCAGTTTGAAAGTAACAGGTCTGTGCAAAATAACATTCACTTCACGAGTGAGAGTAAATGAGAGATTGTTTGTGGTGGTCCCAGTCAGTGCTATTCCAGCACTAGGAGCATATCATTGTGGCCTGTGAATAATTGATTCTGGGCCTGACAAATCAGAGGTTAGCTTAATGAGCAATCTAATTAAAATCAGATCTTAATTTTCGCTACCACTAAACATGAGATCTGAGGAAATCCTATTACAGGTCACGTCAGAACGACCTTTTGCGAACTTTGACTGACCAATGGAACGACTGACAGGAAGTCAACATTAGCCAATCAGAAAGCAGCTATCTTGTGTTTTATGGGGCTAGTTTCAAACTGGCAACTACACTTAGAAACATATTGTGACAAATTCTTGATTACAAATTTGAAAACAGAACAAAAGAACATTCTGGAATGGCTAATAGATGGCCTACATTGTATGGATTCAGTTATAAAGCCCAGAACTGTCGTTCGGAATATTCAATGTTAAATATTTCAAGGGTGAATGATTAGAAAACACATTCTGACTGTCACTTTCATGATCTGGTAAGCGACGCTCAGATTGGTCAGATGAATGGCCGCTCTGACCTGACCTGTAAGCGGATGTCCTCAGATCTTTGTTTGGAGGTAGCGAGAACTAAGATCTGCTTTTAATGAGATTGATTTATGAGCTAAATCAAATGTTGTTTGGGTATGGCCATCTCAGTAATCTGTTATAACAATCAGACAAAGTCAAAGTGAGTTAAGGTTGGTTTAACACTGCTCTTAACAGTGTGTAACTGCTTAATGTGGGAAAAAAAACCTGAAGTGATGCAGCTCATAAATGCCTATCACTTTGGTGAAACATACATGTATGGGCATGGCGTAGACAAATCTAGGACAGTAATCAGGTCAAATCTGTGACTTGTGCCAATGCTCAGGGGATCCTGGAACAACCAAGGGAGTCAACTCTCCACAGCAGTGCCTTAGATCACTGGACCACTTGTTAAACAATCATTGTGTAAAGAGTGTATGAGCGTTGCAAATGCATAAGTAAGCCACATTAACTCCCATTGGTAAACATCTAGCTGAAAAGCAGTTATCTAAACAAAAAACAGTGAACTTTTCAGAAGCAAACAATCACCTGAACCTCGTGGATATTCATGGTACCCCAGCTGTGAGTCTGTGTTGATTCCCGTCCCGAACAGCTTGTGTCCACTCGGTGTCCTGGCTGCGAACACTGTGAAGCCGTACCCACACGCCACACTCTGCACCTGTACAGGCAGAGTCTCACTGTAACTTGGGCACATTGAGAATTACATTTGCGAAACAACTTGAATGAACCTAAAGATGTTCTGCACAAACTGACAGACTTGCAGCAGACATGCAGAGAGACATGCAGCAGACATGCAGAGAGACATGCAGCAGACATGCAGAGAGACATGCAGAGAGACATGAAGCAGACATGCAGAGAGACATGCAAAGAGACATGCAGAGAGACATGCAGCAGACTTGCAAAGAGACATGCAAAGAGACATGCAGAGAGACATGCAAAGAGAGATGCAGAGAGACATGCAGCAGACTTGCAAAGAGACATGCAAAGAGACATGCAGAGAGACATGCAGCAGACATGCAGCAGACATGCAGAGAGACATGCAGCAGACTTGCAAAGAGACATGCAAAGAGACATGCAGAGAGACATGCAGCAGACATGCAGAGAGACATGCAGAGAGACATGCAGCAGACATGCAGAGGGACATGCAGCAGACATGCAGAGAGACATGCAGCAGACATGCAGAGAGACATGCAGCAGACATGCAGCAGACATGCAGAGAGACATGCAGCAGACGTGCAGAGACATGCAGCAGACATGCAGAGAGACATGCAGCAGACATGCAGAGAGACATGCAGCAGACATGCAGAGAGACATGCAGAGAGACATGCAGCAGACGTGCAGAGACATGCAGCAGACATGCAGAGAGACATGCAGCAGACATGCAGAGAGAGAGAGTCCATCTCACTAATAGTGAGTTAGAATGATGTTGTTTGTCACTTGCAGAAGCATTGCAGCTCATTCTCATTTACATGTTTTAATCTCATAGGATACCTCTCTGCATTAACATCTGATGCCCTTCACACGTTGTGTCAGGCGAGCGTTCTTATCGCCCATTGGCATTGAAGTTTCTAATTTATCAGTACAAGTAATCGAAGTAATCTAAATGGGTAATTCAGAAAACAAACATAAACCGGTAGTTCTGAATGGAAAAAAATAAAGACAGTGTTATATTTGTATATGTCATGGAAATATAATAAATCCTGTCACTTTGGAGCGTGATGGAATATTGGTGTTGTGTGTTGTTGTTGTTTTACAGCTATTGCTGTAGTAGGGGATGGAAGGACCAGGGTGTTGCAGGGCAGGGCAGGGCAGGGCAGGGCAGGGCAGGGCAGGGCAGGGCAGGGCAGTACCTTGATGTTGTGGATGTCTGTGAACTTTAATCTTGCAGGTCTCTTCTGTCTTGGTATAGCAGCCTGTCTGTTGTCTGGCCTCATGTATGTCTGAATTCCTGGAGTCAAGAACATCATTAAGCTAACTTAATGAAGGCAGCATGATGACAATATTGATCCCTACAGAAGACACACGTGTTCAACATCCATGGAATTCCTGATCAACTATAGTTGATATATATAAAAGGGCAAAAAGAAACACAAAAATATAACATGGCCTTATTGTGGTCAATTAGGGCCTCCATTATCTCTGATTATTACCATGATTACATATTCTATGTTCAAAACACAGAAACTGCAGAAAGAGGTGAGGTGAAATGGGGTTTAAAGTCATGTTCAAGATTATTGCACTTATATAACGACGTGCAAACGTGTGTGTGTGGCTGCTTGTACTAGTCTGGAATAATGCCGATTTTATAATGATAGCCCACTGAGATACCATGCCGCAGTTTAACATGAATACCCCACTCAGACACAGTATACCGTTTAGCCCCTAATGCCGAGCAAAGGCAGGGTAACAACAAGTACCACCCTGTAACGTCTTTTGATATGACGTAGCCGGAGATCGAAATCCGGACCTTCCACTCTCCAGGTGGATGCTCTACCACTAGACCACAGAGCCTGTAGAATGATAATATCTTGATGGACAATACTATTGTATGGCTGGAGTCATGTGAATTTTGGAGCTGAAAGAATTGAGTTAGGAGACAACAACAAAGATAGCAGCATACAGGGATGTGAATTAAAATGTAACAGGGTTGTCAGTGGATGAGTGAGTGAGTGAGTGAGTTTGATTTAATGACGCTTTTAACATTATTCCAGTCATATCACGGCATGTCAGCTTAATGTGGGAGGAAAGCCCGAAGTGATGCAGGTCTCAGACGTTTACCACTTTGGTAAAACCCACGAGCATGGGTATGGTGCTGACAAACCTAGAAACATAATCAGGGTGAACCGGGATTCGAACCCACAATCATAGGTTTCTGGTGTGTCCAGGGGACGCAACTCTGCTCAGCGAATCGCTGCACCTTATACGACTGGGCCACCTGTGCCCCCGTCAGTGGATGAGTGTCTGTGGATGAGTGTCTGTGGATGAGTGTCTGTGGATGAGTGTCAGTGGATGAGTGTCAGTGGATGAGTGTCAGTTGTATTACAGTTAAAATGGAGTAAAGAACCAGAAAGAGCATTTGTTGTTGTGCTGAGTAATGTAATGCCAGATGGAGATATAACAGTTTTGTTTTGTGGAGGTAATGTTTGTGTGAATATATTAGTAGCAATTGTCAGTGGCAGAATTTTTTTGAAATGTTAGTAAAATATACCAAGTGGCTTAATTTGAATTACAGTCCACAGCAGCAAACATTGTATTGTCTTTATTTACTGTAAACCTAAAACTGTGTCTAAATATAAATCATTGATCTTGTGTGGTCATTTACTGATTTCACAATTTATTTCTGTGCAAACTGATTTCTGGAAAAACCTCTATTTTCAATTTGGAAATCAAGTTGCTACAGAATCATTATCATAGAAATAAAACATACCGAGCGCCCCAGTAGTAGCACATCCCCACACATACACACGTTCCGCTTGTCTAGCATTCTCTGCAGCATACTGAACCACCCGATCCTTCTTGTCCTCGCGCTTCAATATCTTCTGTTTCCATGTTCCTTTGCGGCGACAGCAAGTCATCACTAGTGCATGCTGGGAGATCAAGTCTGGATGACGGGATAGAAACTTCTGCACTACACGAGCCATTCTGAACAAAATAAATAAAACATTGATAGTTCCTCTTCATTCTAACACAACAGATTCCATAGATGGGGTGGGGGTGCAATGGTTTAGGGGTATATCTCAAAAGTGAAGAAACTTTTCCCTGAAGAGATATATACATGTACTTGCATTTAGGAGATAAACAGGTTTTTCAGATTTGCGGGTTTCATTGAGTATTTGATGCCTGGGAATTTCATTTAGAACCAGCAGCATTAGATGGAGGTTACCTATGGAAAAAGAACTGACATTGCATTTCTCGCTGGTACGTATGGTCTGTATACCAAGCTATACTGATCCTCAACAAATGTCTGGTTTTGTCAATAAGTTGTTCATTATCCTAGTGAGATTCTTTTCTACCAAAACCTTAGAAATCAATGATAATCTAGAAATTGGAGAAATTATATTAGTTACTATGGTCACAAGACTTTCTGAGACTAATATAGCAATTATTATCATAAATAGTTAATTCCAACTTCCGTATCTATGTGAGTTTAATTACCCTCACACTCAGCTTATAAATACTGTGTAGGGCTATAAAGTATTGTTGACACTGTAAGCATTGCTGTCACTCTCTGAAGACTATGAAACTGCCAGCCCGGTGTCGCTCTAGGCTTACAATGACAGACCTTAACACACAATCTTTGGGCAGCAGAAATGTAGAATTTCATTTCCATCTCAAATATTTCTTCCACTCATGTAGCTGGGTGGAACTTGAAGGTCGCTTGTGTACAGTGCGTAGTTTAGAATTTTGTCATGTCTTTAATCGATCTTACATTCAATGAATGTGCTTTGAGACATTTACATTGTTTGTATGTAAGACTTGAAACTAGATAATCCGGTCTGGTCCAGACATCAAGTGATTGATATCATGAGCATCCATCTTCACAGTTGGGATACGATGACATGCATCAACCAAGTCAGCAAGTCTGACTACCAGATCTCATGTGTCACCCCATACTGCAAGCATGGTTGCTGAAGACCAATTTTAACCTGGATAGTAACAGCTACTATGACACTGCTGGAACATTGCTGTCTCAATAATAATAATAAGTGCATTTATAATGCACCAGATTCCATTCACCAAGTGGATGCTCATAGCGCTACACTATTATTACCCCGGTCAATGGATCAGTGAGCACTCGATTTTCATTCTCAGCTCCCTGGGGAGTATACAACCCAAGCTGCCTGTGAGGCGCTAGAAGGTTAACAGCTACATCCTACCATCACATCCTACCGGGTACCCACTCACTGGTAGGTGAACAGAGGCACATTTCCAACAAAGTCACTTGCCTAAGGAGACAGCACATGTGGTACATGTGCTTCAGTGTGGGGCAGGACCGATGCCCTAGAAACTCTCAGGAGTCAAGCTGCTGAACGTGGTCACCCATCCAACTACTCTACGAGACAGACGTTGCTTAACTTCACCTGATTTGCGATCTGTGCGGTGTGCACAGGACCACGTGCCACCACGTGGCGTAACACAACATTCACTCACTCACCTTATGCCTGTACCTACCTCTAGTACCAGACTGGGTTAGGCATGTATATCTGCTTCATATCAGATCATTTATTCCAAATTGTGAATGTGTGAGTCTAGCGTTAAACACTATCTTAGTTCATCATGGTGTGTCAACTCTAGCGGTGAAACGATACAGCAAGGTCACGATATGATAGGTATCATGATGTTTAGGTCAAATTGCTTGGAAACTTCTTGACTATAAGTATTTCAGAGAAGGTTCAAAAGGAAAAGCTAGCGGTACACATGTTCATAGTGGTTATTTTAGAAATGAACTAGAAAACTAATTACAATACATTTTGCGATATTTGACTGACAAAAATGCTGGGGGTGTGTGTCATGAAACAAAAAGTAATTTATATTAGCAAATGCATCGACACAGACTAAATGCATCGTGTATCGAATCACTGCATGAAAACTCACAATGCACTCGTGCACATGTGTTGTTTCTCCCCTAGACAGCTCCAGTGACCACAACCATAGTGCTGACAGGCACAGAATCGTAATTGGGGCAACTCTATCATCAGAGGTTCCTCATCTGAGTCACCAACACCTGAGTGACATATTCACAGTTCACACTGTTGACACTATCTGAGTCATGAGTTCAAAATGTTATTTAACAAAACAGGCCCAAGCTCTTTTCTAAGCAAGCAGTCCTTCCACTCTCCGGGCAGACGCTCTACCACTAGACTATGGAGATGGTTCTAGAATAACAGCAATAGGTGTATTGGGTAATGAAATTCCTATGCAAGTTCTATTCTTTGTTACTTGATGAAATGCACCATATACACTGATCATGACAATCACATCCATCGAGTGAGTGAGTATGGTTTTACGCCGCTTTTAGCAATATTCCAGCAATATCACGGCGGGGGACACCAGAAATGGGCTTCACACATTGTACCCATGTCGGGAATCGAACCCGGGTCTACGGCGTGACGAGCGAACGCTTTAACCACTAGGCAACCCGACCGCCCCTCACATCCATCGAAGAATGTACACAGATGCTATGCATAATTAAACAATAATGTAAACAAAATAAAATGAATCCTGCCTCCCAATTTCTAATAACTAATTTATTGTGCCTTAACATACAGCATGTACAGTGACTGAGCCCTGCCCTTCAAGACTGAAAACAGACAAGTGACTTGTACTTGTTGCATTGTTCCTCCAGCAAATCGGAGATCTTTCTGTTGTGTCTGTGATATATTGTTATCATTAAACTTTTCCAGAGACCACATGCAAGTCGCTGCTACAATCAACACACGTCTTTATTTCATTACTGTACTAATTCAACTGTCCTAAGGGTCTAACTGCCCTCTCCTTCATTCTATTCTTACCATGCACCCACTTACATCCTTTTAGGGTTATCCCCCTTACACTGCCCATACATATATGGTAACAAAGTTACCTCCCCTTATACCATGTTATACCACACTATGAATCATATATATATGTATTGATAAAAGAATATGTGGGTAGTTCTAGAATTCTAGTTACTAGTTAATGTTTGCTAAAGATTGTGAATCAATAAAAATGCAGCTAGCTGACATGGCTCAACCTGGTCTTTAAGCAAACTGCTAACAATGATTTAGTTTATTCATTTCTGATCTACAGATACGTAGCTAGTTTTATGTTGTAGGCTACATAACCCTTATTGTTTGTTTGTTGTTAATCCCGCACTCAGTAATATTCCAGCTATATGACGGCGGTCTGTAGATGATCGAGTCTGGACAAGACAATCCAGTGATTGATATCATGAGCATCGATCCACGCAATTGGGATCGATGACACGCTTCAACCAAGTCAACGAGCTTGACCACCCGATCCTGTTAGTCGCCTCTTACGACAAGCATAGTTGCCTTTTACAGCAAGCATGGTTTGCTGAAGACCTATCTACCCTGGACCTACTAGTATGTAAAAAGATAGTCAGAATAAGGAGAAATGGGGTGTACCGTCATGTTAAAGATTATTGCAGTCATACAACAACTTGCATGCATCCATGAGTGAGTACTCTGTGCCCCCTAGTTCTTGCTTCTTTACCTTAGAGTGGAGAACCAGGCAGGGTAAAAAAAAAGTACCAATTTTAACATCTTTAGGAATGATTGAACCACCAACCATCTGCTCGGTAGATGTTATATCCACAAGACCACAGAGGCGGTCAGTCAAAATAAGAAACACACTTCAATTAATATGTGTCCAACAGGAGTGTTCATTTGCTTTGGACATTACGTTGATTTCTTGACATTTTAACTACCTATTTCAGCATATGCTCCGTGCGTGAATGTTGTTTTATGCAGCAGTCAGCAATATTCCAGCTATATGTGGCCTAGGCAAAGAAGGGGTTGCCACAAGGACAGCATGAACAAGGCTCTATTGTGTTGGGTGCAAACAAGAAATGTGTTGTTTGAATGACACCAAGTTCAAACCAACAAGGACTACAGTTTGCCCAAGCCTAGATCTGGAGACCAATTCTAACATGGAATCTCCAAGGGAGAATGTGGAGCCTGACTACTCAGAGGCAATTTGTCAGTTCCACACAAGGCAGCATTTACAACAATCAGACTTGGTCACCAGGATGTGGAGCATAGTCTTCTTTTACCACGGACTTGAGTCTCATTATGGCAGTGATGATCTGCTCACCAGAGAGTCAGATTGTCCTCCTTTAACACAGACTCAAGTGTATTCATGGCGTGATGATCTGGTAACCAGTTCCAAATTAACATGAGCCTGTTAGTCTGAGACTAGTAATAAGTTTCAGGAAGTATGAATGATATTTAATTGTGGACTACCACTTCTACCATTCGTTAGATGACAACACTGTAGCAGATCAATTTCTGATCATGATCATTGATCTGAATGAACAGGCAAATAATATCAAACACAACATGTAGGGAAATGATTGCGAACATTTAATATATTCGACAGTTGTATGTTCACAGATGTTGAATTATAACATATTGGTCCACTGGAAAAATCAAATCTTCAAGTCATGGATAACTTTGAACTGTCAACATCAAGATTATCAGACATGTACAATCATGGACTTTTATACTCAGTTAACTCTCTTGCCTCAGGAAGATGATGTACAACATGCTGCCAAATAGTCTTTCTTAACTGTACAATTCTTTGAGTACGGACATAATCAATTACGTGAGTATGGCCAAACTTTATGAGTACATGTATCAACATGAACTATGACCAAGTCTGTGATCCAAGATGACTCGCTGATTTTACATTTCCACTGTCTTTATCTACATCTCCTAATGCATCTATGATCAGTGAACTTACTTGTGAATAAATATCACAAAACACTTCCTGAAAACCTGTCAAAACCTTTTGGCATAGTCTATCTGAACATTCAGTGGCTTTTAAGTCCAAAACCTTGCCAGGGTAAAAATGAACAAGTACACTTCTCATTATTAATCATATGAAAATGATGAACACATCGGATAAATCATTAATTTTATGACATTCTCTTTTGCCCATGTAGCAGGGCGTGGAGTCATCCCATAGATGACATCCTTACCTTGTCAGCTTGATGACAGGGTTAACCTCTTTTGTCATGTGGACAAGGCGTCCAACCTCGGATCAGAAGGTCCGTGGTTCGAATGCCATCACAGGACTCAAAAACTTAATGGCCGCTACATTGGCGCCCAACGGGGGCCCCACAAGGTAAGGATGTCATCTGTGGGATGACTCCACGCCCTGCTACACCCACTTCCTAAAATATACAAACTCTGTGGGCGAGGGCCCTTAATGCCTCATAATGCCTTGTTCTTTGTCGTTCTAATTAGTAACATTTTATAGAAACTGAAGCGTTTCAATTACAAATCACCATCAAGTTTCTGGATCAGAGTGAAATGCTCATTAATGACATTCTATAAAACATGGAGTATTTGCATGTAATCAGTCCACACTTTATTTCACACAATCTTTTTAAATAACATTCTCAGGGCTGAGCAGCTCATCAGACCACTGACATTTGACTCTGATAAACATAATGAGCGCAACTCCATAAGCAGATTTAGTTTTCCAACAGCATCAAATGTTTTTAGAAGAAATATCACAAGAATGTGCCTTCTGATTGTGAGTTCTTTGAAAAAACATGTTTCCAACATTGATCACATTTGTATGGTTTTGCATTTTGATCTGTTAATGGTGAAGTTTTGTCTTCCTTTTGATGACTTTTCATGTGTCTTTTCAAGTAATCATATTGGGCAAAGCCTTTAGCACACAAACTGCACTTGAACGTTCTCTCTGTGCTGTGGGTATGGGTATGTGATTGTAAATCTCTTTTTCGAGCAAACTGCTTCTTGCAGATCTGGCAGGTGAATGGTTTATTCATGGAATAGGTCAGTTTATGCTTTGACCGTTCATTAGAAGTTCTGAACTGCTTAGAACAAACCATGCACTGAAATATTATCTCTTGAGAATGAATTCTAGCATGATCCCTCAATGCATATATCGATGAAAGAACTTTACCACATTTTTTGCAGTCATGGAGTTTCTTATCAGCTGTTTCGAAATGGGTAGTAAAGTGAAGTGTAAAACTTTTCTGTCTAAATTTCTTCTCAGCGGTGTGGCACTGACGGTGCTCCTTTAGGCTACATCGCAATGCAAAACTCTTCAGGCAGATCCCACAATGATGGTTTTTCTCCCCTGTATGAATCTTCATGTGTTTATGCAACCCGGGAGAGTCAAAAAGGTTCCCCCCGACAGACTTCACACTGGACTGGGCGTTCCCCAGTGTGCACACGATGGTGAACTGTGAGACTAGACTTCACAGTGAAAGCTTTGTTGCAGATTTCACACACAAAAGGCTTTGTGTTCATGTTCAGCATGTTCATCCTGAAAGCAAACCATTTTTCGGTAAGGGCGATTAAAATTTTTTTTTGTTTCTCAAAAAATTTTCAATACAGACTTGTACAGAACATTTATTTTTATATCTTACTTTTTGGTAGGTCACAAATCTGTCAAATTGAACTTGATTATAACGTACCACATTGTTTCTTTTGGACACACATCTTGCGTCTTGAAGTATGAAGAGCCATAGGCCATGGCTACAGCTATTTTAATCCCCTGTGAATCTGACACATTATGAATGGCATGATGTGAGCCAAAAGTAAAAAAACAAAACAAATTTCTCTTTTGCCACTTTTGAACCATCCATGTCAGGTTTTTTTTCATTTTCAGGCTTTGTAACCAGGAGCAGGTAACTAAACAGCTTTCCCCAAAATGAACGTACAAATTGTCTATGCAGGTTGTGTGACCCATCACACAACCTGCATAGACAATTTGTACGTTCAGGAGAACATTGTAAGGCTATATCTGGGCTTGTTGAGTGCAGCTTGACATCACTCTACAGAACATTTAGAATATCTGTGAAAGGGACATATTAATACTGAAGACAACTACATTTTGCCTTCATATGAGATTGTCTAAAATAGCAAACAAAAAAAACATATGTTGATGCATCTTTTTAGGTCAAACCAAAAGACCAGTCATCACCATATACAGATTATAAGTAGGGAATCAAAGAACTTGAAATGTTTCTTGCTCGTCAAAACTACACTGACAGTGGTTACTGTTTAAAAAATATTACTTTCACTTGAAAACACACAATATTTGGAGCAATACGTACATAGAAGGTGGAGTGTGATATGTGCATCCCAGGCTGAGAAACAAGATGTGTTGCCGTCGCAAGAATCTTGGAAAATGGATCAGGCAGGAAGCACACCCGGCAACTTCCATTCGATGTTAAATTCCAACTTAGTACATGAAACGGCGTTGTCATCAATCATAAAACATATATAAATGCAGATCTGTGCCATTAAGTTTACATGCACAAAATTCAAAATTATGGGGAGTAGTGCACTTTACCGGGTGCACTTTTTCAGATCCAATTAGCGCTGTGGGGGCTCGAACGCGCTTCGCCGGCTCACCGGCTCTGCTAATTAATGCGTTAATTACCCTAAGCTCTACCACTGGACCACAGGCGCTATCACATGTAATCAGTGCTCGTTTAACAGGTCATTAGAATCCCCATTGACATGCATGCGTAATTCAGTAAACAATGAATTGCGCATGCGTGTGACGTCATGCCCGCTCTCCCATTCATCTTTTCTTGAAACCACACCCGCAATTGTTTATGTCAACATGACCGGCCAATGGGATTAACTGGATTAACGCTTGAAAAGGTAAGAATTTATGGCTAACCCTTGCCCAAACCCACTGACCCTAATGACCGAAAAGGGGTTTTGGATCGTAAAGACGTGTAAGTTTCCCTAAGACCGAAAACGGGTGTTGGATCGTAAAGACGTGTAAGTTTCCCTAAGACCGAAAAACGGGTGTTGGATCGTAAAGTTGTGTAAGTTTCCCTAAGACCTAGAACGGGTGTTTGATCGTAAAGATGTGTAAGTTTCCCTAAGACCGAGAACGGGTGTTTGATTGTAAAGATGTGTAAGTTTCCCTATGACCGAAAACGGGTGTTGGATCGTGAAGCGAGAGTCACCAGAGCATGAGGCACGGTAACCGTATAACGAAACAGCGGTGGCACTATAGCGCGGTAATTGAGCGGATGGTAGAGCTCGGTCTGCGCCCGGTAAACTGCATTGTTGCCAAATTATGAAATACCTTAGTTTTTTTAAACTCTAATAAACTTGACTGGAACGTGTTGATCTTTCCATTCAGTCAATGGGTCAGGGGGCTGACATCTTGGGTTTAACTTAAAAGACAAAAGGGCGAAAGAACGCGAAAGTACAATAAAGTATTTGTAAGATTCATGGTAATTTACCTACACGCCCCGATTTAATATGTACAAATACCATTTTGTGACGTCAAAATAAACACTAATCATTCCATATCCGCATTACTCGCAATATTGAATTAATCATGTTTCGCTTTTGAAAATCATTTTCCGTCCATATTTTATAACATGCATACAAACAATATAACTTGGTTCCGTCTCTAAACGTTATCCGTATCTGTATGTATTATATATGACACAATTAAGATACGGTTTTTTTCTTTGGAATCTCAACCTTAAAGACCCATTTTTTTATAATAACAAGAACTTGTGGGTTGAGATTTTCTCATCGTGAATGAGTTAAGAGATCTCGGGATCATGTAGATTTGATTCAATGGTCGAAAAAAGCACACACAAAAAAACATTTTGGCTAGCCATTTATAGAAATTTGTCACTATTATAAAACTCTGGTTCGACAGTGAGAAATTTGGGAGAATTACGTAATATGTTGTTATATGGACAGCAATAAGTAAATATTGTCTTTCCGTGTGGTACATGGCATAGTTTCTCTCCCTTAGAGAATGTTCATGAGATCATTCATTACAATGATGTTTTAACGGTTTTGATTTTGAAAATAAAGATGAAAATGGCATAGTGCTCTGAAAGATGGTGTTTGTACTCAGTTAGATGTCCAATTCTGTCTACAAGTAAATTGCAAAGGAAACACCTAGACATATTAAAGCATGTCATGTTGCACATTTGAAAATCAACGTTTCTATAGGTCTGTTAATATTGAGACAGACTACTATGTGCCTGCACTGCTCTCCATCCTGTAGCCAAGATCTCCGAGACAACAGTAATAATAAAAAATAAAAAGCACTGTCCGTTTTTTTGCGTGGGTTTCAATATTCTACATCATCCATACATGAACTTTATTAAGTCATCGCTTACACGAATTTAATATTGTTTAACATGTAGTTGTGTAGTCTGGCTGGATCCTCGTATGTCTCACTAGGACCCTAACACTAACATGGTCCAGAGGACACAAACACACATTGTTGGCATGCTGTCATGACAGTGGAGATATTTCTATGGGCTCACGTGATTGTATCACTCTATGTTGTGCTTATGATGAAGTTAGAAATTCGGAATATTGCCATACTCAACGTAGAACAAGTTGGAAATGTGTCAATATAGACTGGGATGTGGGCGACTTGAATATATTAAATTTCTATGGTCCAACCAAGATACTTCTCACAATGTAATCTAGACAGGCAGGTATTCTGGACACTGCTCATTGAAGTCTGAACCACCTTTTGAATATATTTTTTTACTGCACTGTATTCAGGATTTATCTATTGAAGGTAGAACTGTAAATGAATTTACTTGAACTTAAACGACAAAAAGCATACATGCATGAATGATGTCGGTTTTGTGTTTGTTTGTTGTTTAACGCCGCACTCAGCAATATTCCAGCTATATGACGGCGGTCTGTAAATAACCGAGTCTGGACCAGACAATCTAGTGATTGACATCATGGGCATCGATCTGCGCAATTGGGATACGATGACATGCATCAACGAAGTCAGCGAGCCTGACCACCCGATCCCGTTAGTCGCCTCTTACGACAAGCATGGTCACCTTTTACGGCCAGCATGGGTTGCTGAAGGCCTATTCTACCCCGGATCTTCACGGGTCTCGGTTTGTGTGAGAGGTTCTGTGCAGTACAATGAAAATGAAGAGTGGATGGTTATGCGTAAGTGTAAGGTCACAGGAACAAAAATCACGCCCCTCTACCAATCAGAAACGTTTGCTGAACTGAAGTTTGCCCGTGAAGTGCCGTAATTTCCGGCCACCTTTTTCTTGTTTACCTTGGCGGCGAAGCTTAGAGCTGAGATTTGATGTTTGTTTTAAAATAAATACGAGGTAAGGTGACCGCAGAGGAACACGATTGTGTAGCCTATGGTTTGTTTAGCAAGGGCCAGTAGGTTGAAACAAGTGACATTCATTATTTCATGCGATATCGAGCTGTGATTCGAACCGAGTACGAAATCTTGAATAAGGACCAAGATGGCGGGTGTCACGCCTTGTCTATATGTATAGATAGGTGTTATATTTTTCTATACGAATATATTATGCTGTACACGCTGTCATCGAGTTCCTGTGTGTAAGGATCTTTGGCTGTTGATGTACGGCAGTTGGAATATACTGTTGTCAGCTATAGAGCTCTCAGCTATTTTGTCATTCACAATACGACTGCCTCTGTCGGGTAGTGGGTAGTGTCTGCCCGGATTGTGGAAGGTTGGTGGTTCGATCCCCTGGCCAAGTCATACCAAAACGTGTCAAGAGATGGTACTTGTTGTTACCCTGCCTGGCGCTCGGTTTTGAGGGGATACAACAAGGACTGGTCGCCTTGACCATATGATCATAGCAACTGCACAATGACTTATGGCGCCATTCGTACACCCTTATAATGTGGAGACTTTATAATTGTCTCCAAACATCAACAATGTTGTTTTTTAAATTTAGCTTTAAAGATGTAAATTATTTAGGTTGTAACTCAATAATGTATAAAAAGGAGACAAAAGCAATTGTTATAACAGTTAAATTGCTTATCATTACAAGTACATTCTTTAGCGTGTTGAATTCATGACATGTTAGCGAGGCTGTCCCAAGACAATCCCATAATATCACTTATCTCCAATATCCTGTTACGAGGGGTTCTCAGCCTAACTATACGAAGGTGCCCCCTTAAGAGTTTGTATGTATTAAGTACAATGCCTTCCATGCTTCACTGCTGCATTTGAACCAGATATACGAGACATGCAGGCGGCATATTTCTTCAGGCTACATATTCTCTGTTGACGGAAATGGACAAAAGTGGCTAGCGAGCTGTCATCAAGTATCTCCAACTGATGAGAGCTAACCACAAAAGTCAACCATGCGGACACGGTGTCAAATTTAGGGGATGGTGCTCCCACCTTTGCCACTGTAAAGAGGTGGGCAGCGGAGTTCAAGGGGAGGGGCTGGGTGGGTGTGAGAGCAGCCTCGAAGGTGATCCAAGATCAGGAAGATCAACCACTGTGGAATATGTTTATAAAATACATGATATGACTATGGATGTTCGATCACTCACCACACGTTTCATGGCCAACACAGTAGGCATCTCTCATGACAGTTGAGGACAATCACGAATGAACAAGGTTTCAGAGCGCTGTGGTCCAAGGCTTCCGATTCCTGGCGAGAATGCTCCAGGTTCTCCATCTCTCGTGATAATTTACTTCGTTTTAAAGCAGACCCAGATGGATTTGTTGAGCAATTTGTAACCGTGGGAGTCTTGGGTTCATCGCAATCAGCCAAAGACTAAACAACAGTCAAAGCAGTGGTGACATCTAACATCTCCTCCTTCCCAGACCGCAAAGTCTGTTCCGACAGCTGGTTGGATACAATTATCATGATTATTAACTATTTTTCTTTTAGTTAAACATATGTCATTGTCAGAAGACAAATGGACCGGCCACAAGCTGTGAAAGATAATGGTTGTCTCAAAGCACACATTCCATGCCAAACGTATTTGCTTTTCACCGTCTTGTAAAATCGAGGAACCAGCCTTGAAAATGAATTACTGAAAGGGTTCAGACGCGGGTATCATCCCTGATTCACGTTAACTATGATCAACGGCGTTTCAGCAATATTGTCATGCTCATAGGTTTTACCACACGTGTCTACCTAGACTAACATATAGTCTCTGAAATGAACATATCGTACAGAAAAAACAGTTGTTCAGCTATCTTAATAAAAATATAATAAAAAGGGAGCCCAGTGATTCTCTCCGATACTGCAGTAATCTAGACTTGCCAAACATTATAGACTTGCATGGGCTGTAGTTGATATATTTGTATCAGGGTCTGTAAGACAGACTAGTGTCTACCCTTTCATGCAGACACACAATATATAGCTGGAATGTACTGTTGAGATGATCTAAACTTGAGACACAATGATTTATAACAAACTTCTTCATTACATCTTCACTCAAGGATTGAACTATGTAATAGATGAGCTTCTATACCTGTGGTGTACTATGGGCTGGGTGGTCCAGCCGCCAATCTCATTAAAATTAGATCTAAACAAAGTTTAGCGATAGCGAGAACTAAGATCTGATTTTAATGATATTGGTCCAGTCGCCTAGGGTGCTGCCATATGGTGTGCAGAGTAGCGTCCCTTGGGCACGTCAGAAACCTTTGATTGTAGGTTCGAATCCTTATTCATCCCGAATATGTTTCTAAGTTTGTCAGCTCCATACCATGCTCGTGGGTTTCACAAAAGTGGTAAATCTCTGTGACCTGCCTCACACGTTAAAGTTGGCTATACAGACTACAGTTCAAAACGGCGTTAAACCCATTCACTCACTGTGGTTTAGTAACGAAATATACTGCCGTTTAAGCTAATATGGTGCCAGCCAAACTTTGTTGGTGAAGTTTGAACACGGTGACGTTTTGTCAGTTTGAGAATCCAGGTTAGAATTGGTCTTCAGCAACCCATGCTTGTCGTAAGAGCTGACTAACGGGATCGGGTGGCCAGGCTCGCAGACTTTGTTGATGGATGTCATCGTATCATAATTCTGTAGATCGATGCTCATGATATCAATTATTGGCTTGTCTGGTCCAGACTCGATTATTTACAACCCACGGTCATATAGCTAGAATATTGATGAGTGCTGTGTTAACCTCAAACAAACAATCAGGGTTATGTAGCCTACAACATAAAACTAGCTACATATCTGTAGATCAGAAATGAATAAATTAAATCATGGACGGAATAAAAGTCATTTGCTCTGTGGTTAGTAGCACTTATTTGGTACGAAGAGGACCAGTTGAAGTAAAACGAAATCATTTATTTAGATTTAGGTAGAATTAGTGATACCTGTCAAAAATTCAAACAGACAGGATTAGTATCCAGTGAGTCCCGGATGTAACGTAC